TAAATTTTTTTTTTTTTAAGGTTCACAACCAATTTTTTTTTTTTTTTTTTTAAGATTCACAACCAAAGCTAAATATACATTCAATCTTTTTTCTTTTATTTATCTATTTATTTTTCAGGTTCACAACTTTTTTTTTTTTTAAGATTCACAACCAAAGCTAAATATACATTCAATCTTTTTTCTTTTATTTATCTATTTATTTTTCAGGTTCACAACTTTTTTTTTTTTTAAGATTCACAACCAAAGCTAAATATACATTCAATCTTTTTTCTTTTGTTTTTTTTTTAATTTTTGTTTTTTTTTTAAGATTCACAACCATTTTTTTTTCTTTAGATTCACAACCAAAGCTAAATATAATCTTATTTTATTTTATTTGGCTCAACAATAAAATTAAATACACATTAATTAACATTGTCATATTATTATTGTCAAATTTTATGCATATCTAGAATTTTTTTTAAAACAAAAGAAGAAGAAGAAGATGAAAACGAGAGCAATAACTCACCTTCAGATTATCGAAGATCAATTAATAGAGAGGAGAAGGAGATACATAAAATAAAAATAAAAAATATTGAAAAGAATATGGAATTTTTTTTTTTGGTAAGAATAGAATTTTTCTAAATAAATTTAAAAAATTCTAGATATACATAAAATTTGACAATAATAATGTGACAATGTTAATTAATGTGTATTTGATTTTGTTGTTGAGCCAAATAAAATAAAATAAGATTGAATGTATATTTAATTTTAGTTGTGAATCTTTTAAAAATATATATATCTATTGAATGTATATTTAGCTTTGATTAAGATTGAATTTTTCGAAATAAATTTTAAAAATTCTAGATATACATAAAATTTGACAAGAATAATGTGACAATGTTAATTAATGTGTATTTGATTTTGTTGTTGAGCCAAATAAAATAAAATAAGATTGAATGTATATTTAGCTTTGGTTGTGAATCTTACCCCCCAAAAAAAAAGGGGTTGTGAGCCTTAAAAAAAAATTAAAAAAATAATAAATTGAATATATATTTAGCTTTGGTTGCGAATCTTACCCCCCCTAAAAAAAAAAGTTGTGAACCTTAAAAATAAAAATTTAAAAATTTTAAAAAAAGATTGAATGTACATTTCGTTTTGGTTGTGAATCTTTAAAAAAAAAAAGGTCAAGTTGGGTTGGGAAATATCCAAACCCATTAGGAGATGGGAAGAGTAGTATCCATGGGGAATGAGGAAAAATAATTATAAGGGAATGGGAATGGAGAATTAATATCTACCCCATTAATCCCCATTGTCATCCCTAATTACGAGCATATAAGCAATTGCATAATGTGTAAAATTTTGTAGGGTTTCCCTTCTTGGTTGTATGTTAGCCTAACTCTTACTTCTGTGATTGTATGTTATCTTAAAATTGTATTTAGATTTTGAATTTATTAGAGAAAAAGAAAAATAAGACAAAAGGATCTTAGTCATTCCTATTATTTTAGCAGTTGTGCTATAAGCGCACATTTTAATTAATTTTATTTATATTCATGTCTTAATTTACATAGATACTTGTGATTTAAGTAAGCAAAGTTCTCTAACATAATAATTTACACAAACTTAGGACAACATTGATATTAGGTAGTGAGAAATGGAGAAAGGTATTTAGATTTGTTGCCGAGGACACGAGCTTTGGTGTCTGGGAAGAACTCAAATCCTTGCAATGTAGTTATGTTTCCATTGTCGGAGATCTCAATAGGGTACTTGAGGAGGTGACAAGGAAGGTCATCCTGGAAATCATCGCTCATGTAGTTTTTCAAATTTCGATCAGCCAATGTATTTATTGCCGTAACACATTCCAAAATTTCTGGGTGACGAAAGGCATCGTCTAGCATTTTAAGGTGTTCGTACCACAATGCCATTCTAAAACCATATATTTCTCCCCTGGCCGGCTTGTTTGTTGATAAATGATGTGGTTGATAGCCTCCCATTGCAATCTCGGTATCCCTTGCACCATCCATTGATTTCTGGTTGATGTTTGCAGATCCAATTATTATATATTCATCATCAACTGCAACAAAATTGTAGGATTTCATGTCAGCAATCTTCATGTCAATTGCTAGTAAATGTAAAACAATTTGGTTTGAATTTCATAAAACATATCTCTAATAATAATATCATTCGAGAATATTAAAATTCATGACTTTATTTATTCTATAAAACAATGACTGAAATCTAGAAATAGTAATGATGAAAAAGAAAGAAGCTAAGTCAAAAGATATGAAAAAATATTTCATGGAATGAAAATTGTTTTCTATCGCAGGATCCCACCATATCTCGACAATAATGAGCGAGTGCTAAATGTACACGACGTTTGTTATGTGAAACCACATAGCAGATGAAAAACAAGTGACAATCTTCTGGTGACAACTATCATTTTCCTTCTAGGCTTTATTTGTTTGAACGTAAAAAAAAATTTCAACAAAAGTAAAAGGATTATCTGTAAGTCAACTTAGGGTTGACGATCTCACCCTAAAACAAAACATGTGTTTATGCTCCAGCCTTAAGTACAAAAAACTTCTATAAGGTCCAAGCCGAGTTGTCGAGCTTGAATTGAAGGGCCTCATTTGGTCAGAGCTTTGCAATATATGCTTTCACCTTTACTGGAATTTTGTAAGGTTTTCTTTCAAACAAAAGAAAATAAGATCAATGAAATTATTTTACAAGTAAATGGTTTTACATAGAAAATACTTTTCACATGTAAAATATTTTAAATCGAAATGAACAGAGCCCTAGTATACTTCAGGAAAGGAAGGGAAAGGAAAGGGAGAGATGAATCCTAGGGGGATGAGGAGCTATGCAATGAAGAAATAAACATAATTAGCATAGGGAAAGTATTGATTGCAATTCAAGATATATTCATGGTATTTGTAATATCTTGAACAACTTCATGCTATGTATCTTTAGCAGAAAATTTGTTTTATGCATGGATTTCGTTGTAAATATTTTTCAAACAACTTAGACACATAGAAAAGAACCACAAAATAGTCATATAGAAGACACACAAACTAGACATTCTCTTTTTAGAGTGCCTGAATGAGGATGAAATTGAGTTTTGAATTTGGTATAAAATTTGAAGTTTCAATTCGAAGTAAACTTGTTTGTGCACATGAAAAGCCAATATTGCTTACCAATCATCATGTTCGCATGGACATAGATCATGAAGCGCCGAGCAAGCTGAGCTCTATGATAATTAGTGTCGGGATCTGGTTTCTCTATAGGCACATATTCATCTTCCGTTTGAGCCTCTCGATTGCCAAGGCAGAAAAATGTCAAATAATCTCTAAGATTTTCATTCATTCCCTTAGCACGAAGGGCATCATAAATGTCAGTATACATCATCTCCATTGTCCTCCTTTGCCAATCTAATATTGCTTGAATAGAAGCACTCTCAGGTATGCCTTCTGGCCACATTGGAATTACCACATAGACAGTAAACCTCTCTCCTGCTTTAATCTTGCTAACAATCTTAAGTGAGAGCTCATTCGGTATAAGATGCAATGCACCAATGTCTGCATCCTTGATATCCTTGGAATTCCAGCCATATGAGCTTCCTATGAAGTACTGACTTTCAATGTAAATAAAATTCTTTGCTCGTCGAATAGCATCGATATAGGCATCTTGAATGCTTCGGTCAATGGTGTTACCCATTTCAGTAACCAGGCCTATTTCTGTTGCTTCCTTATGTATTGCAGATGCTTCCTCGTGATCTTTGGCTGCTTTTTTGTGGTTTTCATAAGGAAAGCCCTCAACAGCAGCACTGTCGATTGATCTAAATATTTGAACATTCCATGTTTCAGGATCATGTGTTGATGTAATTGGAGTCGGTGGCCGGGTAATGATTCTATCAAGCTCATTGAATGTGAGAAGGAATTTATTCCCAACTTGTTTTTTCCATCTTTGCTCAAAGTTGTACAGGACATCCAAAGCAACAGGCCCTTCAAGCTTGCAATGAATGTCATGCCAGGGCTCCCTTGGACCGCCTTTTCTGATTGACGAGCCTCTAAAGTTAGGTTGATGGAAATCATGGTTATGGATATTGTCCAGAGTCTTAAACAAGGAATGATCTGGAGTATCGTACCGCCCATCACAAAGATCAATGCCGCCAACAAAACTGACAATCCTCCTCTTTTGTGAATCGTCCTCGGGCATTTCGCTGTCCACCACTATTGTCTTCTGATGGTGAGTAAACATGCTTTTAATTTGAAACCCCTGGACAATACTTGCATCATTAGAATCACGTGGGCATAAAAAACATTGTACCCTTGAGTTTCGAAATTCATATACTATTTCTTGATTGTTGGTTGCCACCAAACCATCTGCCCTCAATGCCTTAACTGAAGTTCTGTCGTCCCAGACAAGCATAAGAACTCTCACACCTTCATCTGCTTTTTTCTTAAGCAAATCACCTAGAGTAATGTTTCCTTGTGGTCTTGGCCTCTTCGGGTCTCTTATCAAAGAGATCTTAGTATATTTAGACCAACCTGTAATGTAAATCAAGTGTCTTGCATTAGTGACTGCGTCAAAGATATCCTCCCAACATCTGTGAGGCTCATAAATTTTGTCTTCGGAAAGATTGAATTGGGGGGTAATCAAATCTGGGACATGGGCATCTTGATATAGTGTAACTTTGCAACCTTCTCTCTGCATGAAGAATGTATAAGGGACTCCCCCAAATGAAGGAGTTTTGATTCCCTGAGACCAATTACTGTCCTTAGTGGCATCAAAAAATTTCAAATTGACACGGATTTTAGGACTTCTATATATTGGGTGATTTTCTTCGTCTACTATGTCAAGAAGTCTATCCACCTCATGCCCAAATATAATGTCCTTGACAGGCAAATAAGCTCTTCCAATTAATGTTTCCCCAATTGGATTACCATCTTTGATTGTGAATACAACATTAGAAATCTTATGAGCACAGTAGATGCGAAAGGACTCATTCCAACGAGGATGGGAGTGTTCATTTGTTATCATTCTGGTCCTTGCAACCCTAGCCCTATCTAACTCAACAGTTGCATAGAGTCTGGAACCAACATTCTGTTCAACATGTTTGATATTCATCAAAAGAATATTATTTCCCAAATCAAAATTTAATACTGAATTTAACGTAAGGCATACCTCAGGCTGACGAAGCACCAATCTCTTGACTTGTGATAAAAATTTATTCTCTTTCTTTTCTGGAGCAACAGCCTCCAAATTTCCAGAGAGCGATTGGAGAGAAAAATAAAAAGTGCATGAAAAAATTTAGAAATCGAAAAGCAAGAACAATTAAAAGACTAAATGCATGATTAATTAGGATGACAAAATACATGAAACAACAAGTGTTTTATAGATGATAAGAGGTATGGCAATAGAAAATGAGAACTGATAAAAATGCTATCTATCCAATATGACTTCTTGTCCATATGATATGTATTGCCTGCTATTATTTCTTAAAAAAGTGGCAGAGAATTAATAAAAGAGTCGGAGGGTTTTCTTTTATAGACAAAATGGAAAAGTTATAGGCATTATACAGTAAGCAAAGATTTGAATTGAGACCATTGTCCTGGAATAAAATAACAGAACATGATAATAAAAATGCCTATTTTGTAGAGAAATGCACGATAAACGCAAAAAGGACATCACCTCTTTTTCTTTACGCTTTTATATCACGGGTATATGACACTATATTATTTGTTTTCATTATTTCATTAGTGATTCTTTCCAAACAAAGAATCGGTCATGAGTATCTACATAAGTAATGATACAAAAGTGTGACAACAAGCAAGTGATACATAACATTTCTCTAACAAAAACTAGCATATACGTATGTCGTTCACATTGCAATTAATTTTAGGTTTATGCTTCATCTGCTTAATTTATAAGATAATAATAGACGATGATACAAAGTGCCACACATCATATTCATTCTACTTGATTAGCAAACAAAAATAAAACCATAATTATTTATTTGGTTCACTAGAATAAAATGAAATGCAATAATCATTCTATCCATTCTCACATTTGATTTAATAAAAAATTGTAATAAAATGTATTGCAAATAGAATCATCATCCATATCATCTTTTCTTGTTTTTGTTTGTATTTGTATTGGATAAATTACACGCAATTTTGTATCTAATATAATTTTTTTCTATGTCGATCAAAAAAATAAATTATCATTTAAAGGGGAAAAAAAAAAACTAAAGAATGACCAGTTATTTCCATTCCACATCGTGGATCAAACACTACATTACCTAAGAAGTTGAATGATGTAGAAGGAATAAATTTGCATAGTTGACAAACAAGGTGACACCATTGTTAAATGCTAAAGAGGTTGAATATTCAAGTAGTAGAGACCACAAATTGAAACATATCAATAGAACAATTAGCTACACTTGGCTTTCATGATTGATTTGTCCATTTGGTTGTTTTGGGTTTTCTAATCAATGAAATCTAAGTCCTTGAATTTGTAGAAATTGGAGAATAAGCTCATGTTGGGCAAAAGAGATAGCAAGCTTTGTTTTTGTGTAATATAATAGTGTAGAGCAAGGCCTAAAGGGGCATAACTAGTCAAGTCTGGGGAAGTTGGAGAGAAGGAGTGAAGAGAGAATGGGAAGAAAGGAAGAAGATAAAAATGACAAATATTTGTAAATTTGAAAATTTTATAGAGGTATTTTTGTCTTAAGAAAATAATTTACTATCAAGTATGCACGTATAATAAATATATATATTTTTTGTTACCATCATACCACACCATCGCATAGTATCACCATTGTCCTTTGTTGGCTACTGCCATCACACAAAGGTTTCATCATGATAGTAGCCTCTACCACTCATCATCATCGCCATTTCTATCTCCTATACACTTTGGTCAATTCCCTAACTATCTAATCTTCCCTCTCTTCTCCACTCATTGTTTGATCTCTCTAATCTCCCTTATTTGTCCCTTTAATACATTGACATTGTTTGGTTTGCATATTGTTTCTATATGATTATGAAGTAGATTTTATGGTTAGCCAATTGGATGATTGATTAAGATGGGTCGATCACGGGTAGAGGAAAGAGAAACTTAGTGTCGTGATCATTGGCTTGGTCATGATGATTTCTGATAGAATTGGTGACAAGACAATTAGGCCTAGTGAAGAGTAGTGAGAGTGAAGGTGAGTAGAAGGTAATGATGGTGAGAGGAAGGAAGAGGAAGCAATGATAGATGATGAATAACAAATGAGAGAATTGCAATGGGTTGAGGGAAAGATGTTAAAAAAGGTGAGCTAAGGGTAATGAGGTTGTTTCATTTAGTAGGGAAGGGTCCATAATATACAAATTTTATGCTTTCTGTTAACATTGTTAAAAGACAAACTCTAATAGGAAATGTCAGCATGATTTTTGAAATGTTATGGAAGAATCTATATTAAACCTAAACCTCAGGGGTGGTTGGTGAGTAGTTTACCCTTTAGGTTAAGTCATACTTAATTTGATTAAAGGTAACTACCCCTATGGTTCATTATATATACATACATAGAAACTGTGCAAACAAATTTCACATGATGATGAAATAAAATGCATATTCTCATTTATCATATAATTTTGTGTTCAGAATTAGAAATAAAAATGTGTTCCAATGATGAGATTTTCTTATCCACTATAAAGCATTAACAAGAAAAATTTTGTTGATATAGATGTTATGTCCTCCCTAATTGCGTTGTTAACAAGTTGTAGTAATGGTACTATTGCACACATCATTTCAAATCGATCTTTCTTAAATGTGTATACCACATAAACACAAATAGTAAATACATACAGATATTATTTATAGACTATATACTAAGAGACGTACCTTGTCAAATAAATTAAACCGCCATCCAGATTTAGTATGCAGCTTATTAATCTCAAAGATGGTGACCCAAAGCATCCCATGGAGCAAATGCAGATCCAGAACCATGGCGTACCAAAACTACTAGCAAAATGGTTGAAACAAAAACAATCAGCTTGCTTGTTTTCATTTTTCAGAAAACACTTTTCAGAAAATTCTACTTTCTTATTTTCTGTATTTTTTTGTTTTTACTGAATTTTTTTAATATTTTAAGCAATTTTTTTACTTTTTAGACACACCTAACATAAATACACCTAAAAAGTAAAAAAAATTGAAAAAAATATTTTAAAAAAATTCACTAAATACCAAAAATACAAAAAAAAAATACAAGAATTCAGTACATTTTTTATATTTTTATGTATTTATTAATTTTTTAAAATATTTTTTCACAAATTTTTTACTTTTTAGATACATCTAACTAAGGTGCATCTAAAAAAGTAAAAAAAAAAATGTTTAAAATTTAAAAAATATTCACTAAAAACAAAAGAATACGAAAACCAAAAAACTCAGTTTTCAAAAAACTTAATCCAGAAAACTCAAACCAAACACACTGAATAATATTTCGAAAGCACCTAGACTCAAAAATAAAATAAATTTATAAAAAGAGTTTAGCATGCATGATTCAAAGAAGTATGCATATGTAATAATTACATCTATATATGTAAATATATTAGTTAGAGCATGAATGGAACCTTAAATATGTGTGGTGTCCTTGAGATGACTTGCAATATGTAGAGAAAAATGTGCTAATTTGCAAAGGTAGCACTTTCTTTTGTAGGAGATGGTCATATATGGTACTTTCCTTGTATTCATATGGAGAGGAAAGGGAATCAAAAGTACATATCTTTACTTTTAAGAAACAAATATCTCTTGTTTGGGGATATATTTTCATGAGATTCTTTATAGCAATTTGTATGTATACGCATATATATATATATATATATATACAAGACTCCTTAGAAGAGGGCACGTGTAAACAATTGCGGAATTAGGATTTTAATTTGAGAAATGCATTAAGATGGTGATGCTATACAAACAAAATTTTATGTACAAAAATTTCATATATAATGATATGGCCTTTAGCTCGTTTTCATTTCAAACTAAATCACCCATTATTGTAACTTGTAATTGTAGAAATGGTATTGCCATATCATTCTAATTGTGTTTTATGTATAAAAATTCTATTTGTAAATCATTTTCTTATTAAGATTATAGACTAAATTTCTTCATGAAAAATGAAAAATATTCAACCTAAACAAAATGTGAAAAAAGAAATTTCATTTCACTTTTCAATTGGATCATATATGAAAACGAAACTCGACGCTCTATCAAATTTTGAAAATCATTTAAGATTGATTCAGTTAAATTTCATTGTAATTTTCCTTTCAAAGTACAAAATCGGCTAGGAGTCGAAATTAATGATTTTAGTATACAAAACCGCAAAGTCAAGACCACTAAATTTTGTTGCAACTGTCATTTCCATGCCACACAAAATGATATTACCGTGGTAAGTAAAATATTTCATCCATCATCTCTTAATTTTTCTAAGATAATCTTAGTTGATAAAACAAAATGAATGATATTTAAACTGTCTTGGTTTTTATGGTGAGAGAAAGATGGGATATTTGTTATGATTTCTTTGTAAGACTATATCAGTCAAATAATAATGTTATGATAATCATATTATTATATATATTATGTCATGTATTACTATTACATTAATAACACACATCAGTGGTGGGACTTAATAAATTAATAAAATTATGACATATGAGTTGTTGGTATGCAAAATATAATAAAATGATATAGTCAACATAACATTACTAATTATTAAAAATGAGATCAAAAGCTATTTCAATCTTTGCATCTTTAGTAAATTAGAATCTCTCTATTTTTGTAATATAAAATATACGTATATAATTTATTTATTTATTTTTGTGTAAGTTTAGTCTCTCCAAAATATTGATATTTATTACATTTCTTATTAATTTATGTACATTATCATTCAACGTATTATATATTAATATTATTTTTTTAGGAGGATTGGACCGTTCATAATTAAACAATTCAAGGCGCCAGGTAACAATGAGAGATTATTTAATAAATTCAAATGTTATTAGTTAAAAACAATTATATTCAACCTTCAAGTTAAATCTAACATATTAACTGCTATCTCTCATACTTAAATCTCGTAATTAAAGTAAAATTGTTACATAGGTTAGAAAAATCATGTATGTCCATCTAATAGAATATTGTCATTTCTCTACTAGATTTTTTTTAATATTTTTATTTAGGTTTATGCAATTATTAGACTCTTGTTATTAGTTGGGCATACTGTCAACGTGAAATTCTTGAAAAACAAGATAATTACTTAATATAAAGGGATTCTTTTATTTTGTTTGCTTTTGAAACCATATTTTCTTTGTTTTTTACATGATTATTAAAAATAAAAGGGAAAATTACAATTTACGTTTCCACCGTATCACTTTGTCTTCTTGAACTAATAATAGTAACACTTAATCCCGCTCATCTATTAATTTCTTTTAATCTAAAACTTTATGACAAAAACAATCTTTCTGCTAATTAATACAATTATATTTCACCTCCTTAAACTATCACTTAATATCACTTCTTAATTAAAAATTGTTGAAAAATAATGGGTTTTTGGTAATTTTAATTCAAAATTAAAATAGGATCCAACCATCAGTTGAGGTGGGTCCGAGTAGGATTGTATTCTCTTAAGTGAGAAGATTACAATATAAAAATAATTAGCTGAAACTACTGAATTGTGAATGAGAATTGTCTTATAAAGTGGGCATCAATAAAAGTTGAGCTTAGATTTGAACTTAGTCTTAGTTTGGACTGAGCCTAGACTAGTGTTTATGCATGCGTTGAGTTTGGTCTTCAACTTGGACTTAATCTTGACCTTGGTTTGAGCTGTGCTGTGTTGGGTTTAGCTTGTGCATGTGTTTGAGATTGGGCTTGGATTGGGCTATGACTCAACACACGTATCAGTTATTTTGCAACCTATCGGGTTTGAATAACATTATATACATATTTAATTATATATATATATATATATATATATTATGCACATGAGAGTTTTGCACCTTTGTACTCTAACCCTAATGGCTAGAGTTGATGGCCATTGATAATAAGTTTTATGGTAACCTTTATGGCTAAGACTCCTTCCCTACAAGTATAAAAATGGCCTTTCCTCTCCAACTTAGATATATAATATAGAAATGTTTTTGAGATGAAAAATTTATGATTTTTTTAGATAAAGTTGGAGATGGTTTTTACACCAAAGAAAATTTTTGGTATCTTCTTTTTGCTAACCCCTCATTTGCTTCTTGTTAGAGAGAGAGTGTTGTCATTATCAAAGTTCACTGAAACTATTTAGAAGGTACTTCTTCTCTAACTAGTTTCGATCGTCGTATCCTTGGAGACGGACGCCGGCGTACCTCCAGCACCCATTAGAGAGGTGGCGAATCTATTTTAAGGAAACTGTGTATACCACAGGCGTCAGTTTGCTTCTTTTCATGTCATTTGTTCCTTAATATTTCAGAATTTATTTTATCTCAACAAGTTTTAATATATTTAGTTATCCATGTTAATAATTTGTTCTATTAGTCATTTTGTTTATGCAAGGTTCATGATGTAACCTAATGCATTACTGTATTCGTAGTTTTATAGTTTATTATGTATCTCATTTTTTAATATAAAATAAAAAAATTGTTTTGTCATTTCTATTTAATTTAATTTAATATATTTTTCTAATATTGTTATGAAAAAATACTAATAAAAATTCAATTTATATCAATATAAATGTTTTGATAAGAATCTGTTATACAAATAGATGAAATATTAACATGTAACTTGTTGCGCGTAACATCTCAAATATTATAAAATATTTAAAATAATATATATGGAGGAAACAGAAGAACTCCAATAAATAAATTTTGTAAAGTACACTAAAATAAGCTTCTCTAGCTAGTCAAGTAGAATTATGGGCTTGACTAATCATCCTCCTATCAAAATATTATTCTTTGTTTCGTTTCTTTTTCTTACTCAAAGACCATAACAATGGTAAACATAGTGTAGGTAACTATGGTTGTTGACATGGTACATAATTATATTTTTAGTTGAACAGTATAAAATGATATTGAGTGATAGTTCAAAAGGGTAAAACATAATTTTATATTTTCGTCATAAAGGTCTAAATTGAAGAAAATCAATAAATGAGAGGGGTTAACTTTAATTTAAGAAAATAATTTGACACAAAGAACAATAGTTGACGAAGGAAAAGTGTAATTTACCCAATATAAAATGAACGACCCTTCTGAAGAAAATCAATAAATGAGAGGGGTTAACTTTAATTTAAGAAAATAATTTGACACAAAGAACAATAGTTGACGAAGGAAAAGTGTATTTACCCAATATAAAAATGAACGACCCTTCTTAATTTTTTTTTTTTTTTAATTACATTGGCTTCTTTTGAGTTTAGATAAACAACAGTTGCTTTGGAAATAATCTTTGACCTACCTTCCAAAGCACCCAACCACCAAGTTACTATAGAATATATGTATATATATTTATACATATCATGTATATGTAGAGAGAGAGAGAGAGAGGGAGAATGATCTCTTCCTGCCTTTTGCTTGGGAAATTTGCAAGAAATCTGAAATGAATGAGAGTCAAAGAAAGGAATGTTCATGTTCCCATAGATGGGTTATGTGCTTGGCCATCTTTGGCAAGGCATATATGTTAGCTAAAACGAATAATAAATTAGCAAGCAAATATTGAATTTAACACAAAAAAATACATTAATAGATAAGATTTTTTTTTCTTCAAAAATGTGTTGGAACAATCTTCTATGTAAGAGAAAATAATGTGAAACAAAACAAACAAATAAAAATAAATTTTACCGAAATGAATAAATACAAAATTGATCAAGTCAAGTGTGCAACACTCTATCCTCAAAATAGATTCGCCTCGCTTTGGTACTTACGGATAAATGGCATCTATCTCCCAAGAAACAATGATCTTACACAGATTGTAATAGCATTCCAAACAATCTGTACGGCGAACTAGAACCTGTGCTCTATACTCTCAGAATTTTCTCTAAAAAAAACTATTATGTAGAAAAATGCAAAGAGAGAGAGCAAAAACGAGAAGAGAATTGATTTTTTTGAATATGAAAATCTGCTGGAAAAGGTCTAGTATTTGTAGGCTAACTGGTGACCTTTAGAAAAGGCCAAACATGTATGATTTTGAATTGAACAGTTGTAATTCAACCTGAACGTACAGATACAAATTCAAATTGAATATGTATGGTATTTAAACTGAACAGGTCTGGAAAGAAATTGAACCTGTTCGGTGCACAGTTTGAATATGTCTATTTGAACCTGCTAGAAATTGGACCAGAGAAAGCACTGTTTCGGACAGAAAATTGGATTCAAATTTGTCCTCGTTTGGCATATAACTTTTTTGGACTTTTTGGCTAAAATAGCCATAAAAAGACAAAATAGACTAAAAAGCCAATAAAAAATAAAATATCACATCCAAACCATAATCATTTCATGTTTTTTTTTACAAAAGCTAAAAAAAATCCATCTTATGTCATTAACTATTTGTTTTACTCTCTCTCTCTCTCTCTCACAACACAATCCCTGCATAGAAGAATTATCCATACATCTTATGTCATTACTCATTACAACAATTCTATGGAGGTAGAAAAAGTGCAAAAAAGTCGGCCATATCGCACCAATTTTGAATTTATACCATGTATTCCGTTCTTTGACAAGTTTTTGAGATTTTTTTTAAAAAATATTTTCTTAATTTGTCCCTAAATTTTTCCTTAGTTGATATTTACTGTTCCTGGATTAGATTAGATAGAAATCAATCACCTGTCAGGTCAAATGGTATCTATCAGGAGATATTCCAAGGAGGGTTCAAAATGAAGGATGGAATAAAAAAGATTGCTTGGATGATGATGCTGAGTGTTAAAAGTTGGATTCTTTGTTTAGGAAAATGGAGGAAAAATCAAAATCTAAGAAGATGGTATGTGCTTTTCTTGAGCTGGTTGGTTTGAGTAAAAAGTCAGGAAAAATCCAAGGGGTAAACTCAGGATTTTTCCTAAGAATCTATCCTCTCTCTCTCCCTCTGTTGTGTTTGTTATTCTTGTCTTGAATTGTTTAGCTATCTTCCTCTTCTTTGGCATCATGCTACACCAACTTCCTCTTCTTTCACCATCACATTACAATGATTATCAATTTTGACATTTGAAAGGACAAATTGTTTTTAAAAACAATATCTATATTCTACCACGTAAATTTGTTCAACTACTCACACCAAGTCTCGTTTGACAACCTTCAATTATAGTTAAAAGATTAAAATAATCTGTTCCAAAAAATAAGAAAATATCATATGATGACATCAAACCTTTGGTTAAGGTTTGGGCCAGCCCAACCGCTGCTTCTGATTAGGAGATACGGGGTCACTGTTGTGAACCCTTCCTGTGCCTAAAACGGCACAGTTTCACCCACTTTTTCTTTTCTTTTCTTTTTTCTTCGAATCATGTTTTTATATATTTTTTGGTCATTTTTATACTTTAATTCTTAATTTTTTTTTATTTTGATCTTTTATGTTTCAGATTTTTTTCAGTTTACTTCTAAAATTAATTTCTATTAAAAATTAGACAAAAAAAAAAGATATTAACAATCACAAAAATATTTTTATATCATGTGACTGCTAATATCTTATTGTTTGTCTAATTTTAACAGAAATTAACTTTAAAAGTAAATTGAAAAAAATCTGAAACATAAAAGATCAAAATAAAAAATAAATTTTAAGAATTAAAGTAAAAAAGTGACCAAATATAAGGACAAAGTGTAATTTATCATGCCAAAAAAAATAGTGAGAACATGATATGAAGAGAAGGGAAAAAAAAAATGGTGAAACTGTGCCGTTTTAGACATAGCAGGGGAGAGCAGGCGGTTCTTGTATCCCTGATGAGTGATTATTCAGTATTTTCAGAGTATAGACACATAGGCCATGTTTGATTCACAACACTAATAGTGAAGTATTAATAATCCCATCAAATTAGTGTGGTATTAACTATCTCATCCCTACCCCATTTGCCAAAAAAAATAGTGAGAACATGATATGAAGAGAAGGAAAAAAAAAAATGGTGAAACTGTGCCGTTTTAGACATAGCAGGGGAGAGCAGGCGGTTCTTGTATCCCTGATGAGTGATTATTCAGTATTTTCGGAGTATAGACACATAGTGTTCTATAAAATTTTAATTGGTAAAGAGAGATAAGAAATCCATAATTTATATTAGGAATGGATGAATAACATAAAATTAAATAATTGATAATTGACTTAGAATATAATCACGTGTCATTATAAAATTATTGAATAATTTTCCATCCCGGATTAGGTAGAGTTCAACTGATAAAGTAGGCTTCTGATAGAGTAGCGCTCTAAAGCCTAACGAACTGTACAGGATATTAACAGACAAAAGATAAAGTGGTGGTCACAACGAAAAACAAAAATCACAAAACAAAAAGGTAGCTGAACATCCCGGATTAGCTGTTGGAACACAAGTAAAACCACACTACAAAAACAATAATGGGTAAATTATAAAATACTTTTCTAAAATTTTTTTAAAATATGAATTGTTTCTTATAATTTTAAAAATCACATCCCCTCTTTTAAAAGTTTTAATTTTATAAAAAATAATTTATTTTACTAATAATAAATAATCAAGTCAATTAACAATTTTTAATAATATCATAAATTCATTTCGATTAATAATTCTAATAAATTTATTATTATATAAAAAAACAATTATAAATTTTATTTTTTCAATTAATTATGTTAAATAAAAAAATTATGATAAAAACATATTTATAATTTTTCAAACCACTGGAGTAATTTATATTTTAAACAAACCTGGTATATTGGTAATTTACCCAACAATTCAATGAATAAACAATCACAAAAGTTGATGCATAGTGCATGGATCAAGGAATATGTAAACAAAATAACAATACAAATTAAACAACAAAAGAATACCTCACTAAAATAATAAGAGATACTTACGTGTAATTCTAATAAGTAGACTTATTATCTAATAGATCCTATGAGAAAAATCGTTATAAAAAAAGTCACTAATTGTAAATTTTAACAACAATTTATCAAAATCATAATAAAAAAAAGTCACTAATTATTAATTTTTAGTGACGTATATAAAAAATTATCACAAAAAAATTATTTCTAACGACAATTTTACCAAGATTTATTTTCAATAAGACTTGATGGGAATTAAATCTAAGTATTAGGAACTATTGATAGTTTACTCATATTTATAAACAACAAACCATTACGAAAAATACTGGTTATTTTGGATAAGTATGGTTAGTCCTGTATTTATAAGACTTTAGGAACCCTTTCCCAATACATGTCTATCACTAATAGACATGACATTCATGCAAGCAAAATAAACATCTCCAGATTCAAGGACCATTGACAAGCAATACAACAGAAGCCTCAACTCATAAACAATACCCATTTGTTCATCATAGTATCTGAACAGCAAATACTTCAACAACCGACTAACTAACAAAAGATTTTCCCCAAAAATTTCCCATATTTGTCTCGACAACCAGGCAACTAAAAGGATGATATTTAAACATAAGTTGGCAAAACAAACTGACAAAGAGTTATCTTACAATGCTGCATACGATACAATGGACAATCCTAATGACCACGCAAGAAAGCAAGCAACCTTCAAAGCCATCACACATTAAACGAGCAAACCTCGCTGCCGCCTTATGGACTCGACCACATAACAAGCCTTAATACAAAATCCTTCACACCTTTATCGCCAAATCATTCCAGTTTTATTCATTCCTCTTGTAATATTTAGGCGAAAATAGGATTAAGGGCTCAATAAATACATATTCAGTTCCAATGCCTGTGGTGTTTAATTCTCCAATGCAATTGGTTCCTGCACCAAGATGGTCTGGGCTTGATCTTCTACTACAGGCACATCATCCATGTTGGGCTGAGTATGGCCTGGTTCAACACTAGGAGCTGCCTCCGGCTCTCGATCTTCACTGGTTTCTTTGGGTAAGGTGGTTTTATGAGATGAAGCTTCGTTCCCTTTATTGGTTAGGATGGTTTTTTCAGAAGGCAGTTTAGGGAGGGACTTTCGCTGCGGCTTCTTAAGATGGGCAGGAGGTACCTTGGTCACGTTATTTTGTGACAACTTCTCATCGAAACTTAACCGACCAGATCGATAGCTGCGGCTAGTGTTTCCTTCAGTGTCTCTGGTGGGTGAGCTCTTCTTTCTACCAAGCTTGGGAGATTTGGCTCTTGTTGGTGGTATCTGCATCACAGTAATATACAGCATAAAGACCAAAGCAAAACAACACTCCAAAAAATACCCTCACACAAACAGCAATGACTTTACATCCTTCTATTATGCCATCACTTCCATTTATTTCACACCTTAGATCAGCATGTTGAACAAAGACCAAAAAGGATACACCGACTATTAGCTGATATCATAACAGCTGGGACCTAGAACCAAATTCTGCCTTCATCCAGGTCGTGGGATTCATTATCGATCAAGGTGAGAATCAACCTTAATTGTGCATCCCCAAAAAAGAAAAAAGAGAGTAGAATAGGAAGAAAAAAAATAAGTATAATTTGGGATAGTGAAATTTAGCAAATGCAACAAGAAATTTCCCTGTCAATCTGCCCAATAAAGGAACAGAAAGCATACTTTTTTCACACAAATCCCCAAAAACCTCCGGGAGGCACCTTATATTGAGGGCAAACAGCTGTTTTCTCAGACATTATTTTATTGAATAAAGAAAAAACTATCATTAAAGTTCAAGGGAAACATTTGATACAATGCATAAGAAACTTAATGAAAACTCTTTGGAAATGCTAGGAGTTTATCAGAGACATGCTCACATATATATATAATTGTTTTTTTTTTTTTTGATCGGTGAAAGCCAGTTGTTAGATGTTTAGATAACAGCACCTATGGGAATTAGCATCCCTCCCCACCCTTGCAAAGCACTAAGTGCTTGTCTTCTAAAGCTTTCTATTGCTTTTATCAAAGTTTCAAATAATTTTTCTTTTAAATTTTTACAGGATTTCATATCACTACGTGTTTCCCACTTCCCATAATATTTTTAAACCAAGTTTCACATTTTCATTTCTTGTACCATTTTCGGTTTTCATTTCCCATTGTGGCAACACAAACTCCAAGTATGTTACAAGAAGATAACAAAAATTGAAAAAGCAGTTCAATTTTACACATGGGAATATTGTTTCAGACTCACAACATCAGAATGTAGAGGGTATTGAGTTTCAATAAGCTTAATCATTGACTAGAAGACCAGACCAAGTTAAACTTCAATGTGAACGGTTATAACACAATCCAAGCCACTTGAACTCCACTTGTCTTTGGCTCGCTAAAAGTTCATTTGGTATCAGCTCACTACAAATATAAGTCAAACGTAAGCATACTTTGAAACTTGCTACTTTTTTTATATGCACTCTAAGATTATATATATTCTATTATCTAACTATTCTATTATATAAAGCAAAAGCTTGACTTAGTGTTTATGTCACGTTTTTTCCTATTCCCAAATTACCCCTTATAACCACCTCTACATATACAAGAGCAGTTATGGGCACGGGCACATATAGGGAGACTCACAAAGCCCGACATACATAGAGATATTCCCAACAATCTCATAGCACACCCATGATCTTTTCAATTGGATACGTAGTGTGCTTACCCTTCTAGCATATATATATATATATATATAAATATATATAAAAACCATGTTACTCAAGCTCAGCTCATAATAGACTCGATTAAAAATTGTTCAAGATCCGCTCATTTTGTGTACAACCCTAACGATTAAGGAGTAAGAAGCTTGCAATGGAAAGAATTATTACTAGTAGTAAACATTGGAAATTGAAAAGGAAAGCCTAGAGAAAATGCTTACACCTTAACAGAAAGATTTAATGACGTAACATCATATGAAGATTTAACAATCTGAGGTTCAACTAGAAGTCGACTCAAAAAATCTTTTGAGCTATAGGTACCACCAGCTGGCCAATGACCCCACTCCTTCAAGTTAAGTAATTCAAGAGGGGTGGTACAGCAAGCATGAGAGGCACATGCTATTCAGTGAATTGCATGATTTAAATTTGAGCTGCATGGCGAGTACATAACTGTGTCCTTAATCTTGGTCCACAAAGAACTGAGGCCATCTTATAAGAACCAGAAAGGAGGAGGGCTAGTGTGGGCATTTAGAGAGAAAGAAAGAGAGATGCCAAGAACCTGTACCCCTAAAGAATCCTGGACAACAGCAGCTCAACACATGGGTGCACAACCAATACCTGCAATAGTTGTCACATCACAATATTGATGCCAACTTCCATGATGGCAATGTTAGTTGCTTTGTTTCTAAGTTTGCCTCCTATATCAAACAATCTGCATGATGCAGTAACTCTGAATAAGGTTAGTCACATGCACAATTTTCACAATGCTTAATTATGTTTGTTAACATTAAACAATCATTCTTCCAATCTCCATGCATGATGCACCAATTATCTATTTAACATTCAAACATCAAATAATACTCGTTCAACTTGTATTGGATCCTTGGACCACAATGACACTCACCAATTGATTAATGTCAATGACTTAAAGTTAAAACAACAGGGAAAACTACTCCAATGGAGGAACAATCTAAAAACCAATCTCTCAAACTAAAGGATCCCGTGAAAACCTTTGGCTCAAGACATGCAGAATAGGTCCAAAAAGGAATCTTTTCAGAAACTATATACCTTGAATGAATACATCATCTATTTAAAAAATTTGCATCATTCTCAAGCCAAAAACCCAGAATAACAGCCAAAGATGCACAGGCCAAGAGCAAGTCACCAATAAACAGGAAATCAACCTTTTCCCCAAAAATTTCACTGCTCTAAACACATTTATCCTGCAAGAAGACAAGCTGTTCACATGAACCACCTTGATCCATCCTCCAACCTCAAAATGCTTAACAGAAAAATAGAAGTGATTTTCATGCTTACAGATTATTCTCTTCTGCCCAAAAAGACATAGTCAAATAATCCTCAACTGGGATGAAAATTCTAACCATTTCCCCCAACCCATAGTCCTTTGAATTATGTCAACCCTTTAAAAACCAATGCACTAAAGATGCCAACCACAAGGGTGAATAAGGCAAGAAGACAAAAGTCAATTTAATTGCAACTAAATCAGCATCTAAAACCAGGTGCCTCCAAATAAGAGCATTTCGGTACAATAGACTGCATTCTAAGAAAATCACCAATCTCCTTGAGAGCATGCTCGCTATAATCTTGTGAAGATTGGTAACCAAACTTGTAGGTTTGGAATCTTTAATGGAGATAAACATGTCATGCATCAGAAAACAGACCATTCAATTATAACAAGAATCCAAATCTACAAATCTTTGGAGACATGCACGTGGGAATCCAATGCATATGAAATTAAATTTCTTTATATTAGCATTGAGTGACTATGATATTTCAAAAGTTGCAATCATATTTTTCTTATTTTATATGTTTGCCAAGGTTCAAGAATAGAATTTAGGGTAAACTACCAATAAGTCAAATAGATGGACGGCCTCGTTTGGGAACAGGCTTTTTTAATAACTTTTTGACTTTTTGGCTAAAATGTGATGTAAAAAAACTAGTATGTTTGGAATGACTTTTTGACTTTTTACGAAAAGATGTGCAAAAAGTAGAGAGAAAATGAAATCTTTGACTTTTTTGTATGGGTTGTTGGCTTTTTGGTTATTTTAGTAACTTTTTGGTTTTTTGGCTAAAAGGGACACTTGCCAAACAAAGCTAATTCCCATAAAATCCTATTGAAAATAAGTTCTAGTAAAATCTTCGCTAAAAATAAATGTGTGACGATTTTTTGCATGTCGCTAAAAATTGACAATTAGTGATTTTTTTTGTCATGATTTTTATAAATTGTCACTAAAATTTACAATTAGTGACGTTTTCAGTAGAGAGAAAATGGAATCTTTGACTTTTTTGTATGGGTTGTTGACTTTTTGGTTATTTTAGTAACTTTTTGGTTTTTTGGCTAAAAGGGGCACTTGCCAAACAAAGCCTAATTCCCATAAAATCCTATTGAAAATAAGTTCTAGTAAAATCTTCGCTAAAAATAAATGTGTGACGATTTTTTGCATGTCGCTAAAAATTGACAATTAGTGATTTTTTTTGTCATGATTTTTATAAATTGTCACTAAAATTTACAATTAGTGACGTTTTCATGTGACGAATTTTTCAAGCTGTCGCTGAAAGTTAAAAATTGGCGACTTTTTGTGATGATTTTTTTAAACTGTCGCTAAAACTTATAATTAGTAACATTTTTGTGACAGTTTTCAAATTATCGTTGAAAATTAACAATTAGTAACGTGTTTGAATAGTGTTTAATGAAAAATACCATTCATTCTCAAAGGACGTATTGGACAATAAGTCCACGTATTAGGATTTACACGTAAGTCCTCCCAAAATTTAGCCCACACATAAAATGATGTTCGGCAAAATTTATTTTTGAAGGTTATAAAGTGGCTTTGGTGTTTGTAAAGCCTATAAACAGTAGCCTAAACATGAATAATATTTTATCCTTCTCCTCTCTCTCTCTCTCTCCCCTCTTGTGAACACGAGGCTTGGAAGTCACATTGCACACTGCATCTCCTATGTCTTTCTTCTATTCACTTCATTCATCTCTTTACATATCAAATCAGCATACTTTATCTGTCCATGATGTCCTTAGAGAATTCCTGACAGCCAAGTTAGGACAAAACTTGTCCCCAAAGGAACACCCCCCACATCTATTCTATCTATTTTATTCTATTCTATTATATAAAGAGCAAAGTCTTCACTTGGTGTTTATGTCACGGTTTTTTCTTATTCCATAATTACCCCTTATAACTACCTCTGTACAACTACCTCTATATAGCCACAAGAGTAGTTACAGCACTACTACATGCACAAAATTTCTGTGCACAGCACAGAAGCTCTCTACTCTTGCATACCCCACTAGACAAAGCAAACCACCTTGATATGCACATATTAAGAAATTGTTTAACCTATACATCTCACAATCCAATCTTAAAAACAGCGCAGACACCCATAGGCAAATACAGAATCCCCACCTTATTTAGGGTTTACACTAACAAGTACAATGGTATAAGCTATAACTAATCATTTTAGGGAAAAGAAAAAACCAGCCCTTTTTTTGGGCAAGGAAGAACCAAATTTTCATGGAAAGAACATCACCAACATAAATATAAACTAGGCACTCGACTTGAATGCTTGATCAACCAGATCTTTCTTTTCGTAGGGGAAAGAGAATCAGACAGAATATAGCATTAAACTCTTTCAATGAATGTTGTTCATTCAACACACGACTAAATTGTACTCTGTATTTCCACCAAGTGGAATGGGGCAGTCATTTGTCTAAAGAAAAATGGCCTTATAGCAGCTCTCTCTCATATCAGACGGAAAACTTTTCAATGAATAAAGAACCTGTGGGAGCTCAAAAAATATCAGCTTATTGGGTGTAACCCAAACAAGTCCTGACAATAGGCCCAGCCCAAACAAGGAAGCCCATGGGACAAATATCACACCCCCCATCTATAAAAGGAGGGCATACCAAGGACTAGAGGTAGGTCTCATCTCTCTGCCACAAAAGACACAGACACTCTTCAGTTCTTCATCTTTTCTCTTTGATTCAAGAGTCTAACTTTATCATCGGAGTGTCCCCGGCCGGCAACCCCGGTTGGGTGGCACCAACTATGTTTATCTTTACAGATCTCCGGGGCTAAGTTCATCTCTTTGTTGGATCTCATCAACAATCCATGTGAACAGATTCATGGTCTCACAATTGGCGCCATCTATGGAAATCGTCTGAAAGAATTCAATAAAGAGAAGAGCGAACACTATCCTTAAGGAGCTTGGACCAGTGTACTATCCACAAAAAGTTGAAATAACACAACGAACGTAGTGGATCTGCAATTGGGTCTTGATCCTCTCTCTAAAAATATCTATATTGTTGCATGGTGTTATTTATTCGGAACTAACTTTTATCACCTACCTTTCCGTGGAGCACTCCGGTGGATACAACCAATTCAGCAACAATATATATATATATATATATATATAATTGGATAAATTGGACATGGTAGTACTTTGACTTGCCGATCAATTGTTTCGGCAAAACAAAAACCAAAAGTGTTGAGACCCACATGACAACCCCGCCGAAGCGATGCCCCACCTAAAGAAGTTCAGTCATACATCTCTGCCTCCGAAGTTGTTCGGCGATGCCACTTCGATGAGATTGTTCGGCAATAGCAAATAGCCAACCGGCCAAGTTGCCAAAATAAAGTCGAAGACCAAAATATTTTTGTTGGCAACAGTATTGCGAATGCCACGAAGTGTTCTCAGCACAGCCAAAAAGAAGCGTCGACCAAGTGGTTTCAGCAAACGAAAGATGACAAAATACCATTATGAATTTCTACCAACAATCAATCACCTATTACAAACATAATATGGTTTCATTGCATTAACCCCCATAATAATTAATTCCCCACTTCCTACTGCTTTCTGTATAAAGAATTTGGATTGTTTTCCTAAATTTATGGTCAAAATACATAAATAGATTTAGATATGGATATTTGTAGTGTTGAGTACATAAAAAATATAAAATTAAAAAAAAACCTTAAAACCTTTGGATGATTTGTACAAGGTTGGCACCAAGCTCCACAAAGATCCCAATCATCAAAAGTGGAAGGAGAAGAAATGTTGATTTCTTGAGCCAAGTAGTTTTCGGCAACATAGTAATACTTGCCCCCATGCTCAAAAACATTTGTGTTGCTTGGGATTTTATTCACATCTCTAAATCTAAGACAGCCTAGAGGAATTGAAAGATTACACTTCCATTCATATGTTCTCTCTCTCTCTTCACTTGTATAAATTATTGTAGATATAAAGAAATATTTTTGGCAAAGTCAAAGAGGAATTACTGATCGAGCTTTCGGCAAACCAAAATACTAAGAGTTGCTGAACAAGTGTTTCAGCAAGCCAACACCCAAGCAGAGAGTGCCGACTAAGAGCTTTCAGCAAGCCAAAAACAAAAAACAAAACAAAACGAGGAGCACCATTTTATGCTCTCACCAAATGAGCACACAACACTTTGCCAAGTAGAAATGATGCCGCAAAGCCGACATAATTCTGCTAAAGACATTAGAACACATCCAACTCAATAACATTCTTCAGCACAACAACTCAAGTTCCTCGGTTTTACATTGAACAAGATTTTGCAGCTTACATTGAACAAGATTTTGCAGCAAAAGTTGTTCGGCAAACAAACACGTAGAGCAAAGAAAATTTGTGTGGCAAGCGACCAAGAGGAGTAGAAAATCCATTTGGCCAGGAATCGCCCTTGAATAGGTTTTTAATAATATGTTCAACAATCGAATGGGTCATACCACAAAGGTACCAACCCAACTCGACATAGCTACCAACATTACTAGGCATATCTGCAACCCAGCCCAGTGACGGCGCTTGCAGAAGGCTCCTCAGCATCACTACAACTCACCCAAGCCTACCCGACATTGCTACCACATAGCTCAGCAGCGCTACCCAATATGCCTCCCAAAAATGAAGCCGACCCAATGAACGTTAACACCCCTAGGTTGCATAACTGACACCAAAGTGATACAATAATGAAGATTGCGAGGGTTCTCTAGCAACATCAGAAACCTTTAGTGAGCTAATGAACTTGTCGACCAATGTGTGTAGCCAAACCAAGGAGCTAAGTTGCCAACCAATGTGTCTCGGCCAGCACAACTAATTTGCCAACCGAGTTCAAGTGCCTATTTTCTCTCTCTAGAAATTGGGTTTATGTTCATCATGAGAGCAACTTTTCGGCAATACAAGAATTGCTCAACCAACCAGAGGGTTCTCGTCGACGAGGAGTCAGACCCCACCAACCAAAAAAGCCAAGAACTAACCAACGTTTGCTGATAATTGCGAAACAGATTAAGTGGGTGTTTGGGAAGTTGTTATTTTAGTAGGTTTTTTTAGTTTTTGATTATTTTAGGAGGTTAAAATTTTTGTGTTTGGGAAGATAGTTAGGTTTTTTTGTAATTGGATGTGATGTTTGTGAGAGAAAAAGTGAAATGATTATGGGTTTTATGTGATATTTTGCCTAGATTTTTTTTTTTTTTTTTTTTTTTTTAACCTATTTTGTCTTTTAGTAAAAAACTAACAAAAAAAACTCTTCCCAAACACCCCCTAAATTTCCAAAAACTAAAATTTTTGAAATTATCGAAATCCCATTTCGAGTACACCAATTCGAAATACTCATTGAGATGAATCCAACGCTAAAAACCACATCAAAATCAGCGCTAAAACAAAGTTGTACGGGCCAATCCAAATTTGCCCAAAAAATCCATTGCTTTGCTGAAGAAGAACCAACAAGCAAATGAGGAAATCATCCTGTGCTTCGCAGTTGTATTGCAATTGGTTGATCTGAACCATCAGATCTATTTTAGTTAAATATAAGCCATCTGGAGTCCAATCACAATGATCCAATAGTTGCTTCTAGATATTTGGCACATTCCGAGAACATCCGTATGGTCCGAATTTGCACATTCACTTCAGAAAAATTGCAGATTTTTTTTTTGCCGCTCAACAGTTAAAATTGAGTACAACATAAGTGAAATTGATTTCACCTCGCCTCTCACAAATCATCCTGCTTTGTCTCGGCTTCAACTCCATATCACCTCGGCGACAAAACAGGGGCAAGGAATCCGCTTCACAAATTTGTTATTGGCTTACTCAGCAATTTTGGCCAAAGTCCAATTTGAATTCCTTCCGAATAACAAATATTTTGCGCAAGCAATGGGGCAAATATATGCTTTGTATACAATGCAGTACTAGTTTATTCCGACTTGGCACAACCACAATTCATACTAGCTCAAGGGCAAGAAATCAACTTAAATCTGCTTCAACTTGCTCCACTCGGCAATTCCTTACAACAGAGCGATGCTATTTTTTAATACTCTACCACTGGAGTAGGTTTTCAGCTTTCTACTTTTTTGTGCCTAATAAGTCTGCATTATTTGGTACAGGCAATCAATGACACGGGATGTATTATTCACAATCCTAGCAATGTCAAAATTGATCGGCACGAAAAGCCATCACCGAAGCCTTCAAATTCGAAGTGCTCTTCGTGCTTGGCACAGAGAGCCATCACCCAAGCCTCCGAATTCGGAGCGCTCTTCATGCTCGGTACAGAGAGTCATCACCAAAGCCTCCGAATTCGAAATGCTTTTCGTGCTCAACACAGAGAGCCATCACCTAAGACTCCGAATTTGGAGCGCTCTCCGTGCTCGACACGAAGCGCCATCAGCAAAAGCCTTCGAATTCGAAGCAAGACATACATTTATACATACATTCAAGCATACATGCATTCATATAGTCATTCATTCATTCATTCATTTTATTCATTTATCAAACATGTTCTTTGTCAAGAAAACTAACTTCTATTTGAACAACGTAGCTTGGCAATCAAAACTCTCAAGTTTTGGGGAAATTGTAGAAGCCCAAAAAATATCAGGTTATTGGGGATAACCCAAACAAGTCCTGACAATGGGCCTAGCCCAAACAAGGAAGCCCATGGGACAAATATCACACCCCTCCCCCCTATAAAAGGAGGGCATCCCAAGGACTAGAGGTAGGTCTGATCTCTCTGCAACAAAGGACACAAACACTCTTCAGTTTTTCATCTTTTCTTTTTGATTCAAGAGTCTAACTTTATCATCGGAGTGTCCCCAGTCGGCAACCCAGTTGGGTGGCACCAACTATGTTTATCTTTGTAGACCTCCAAAACTAAACTCATCTCTTTGTTGGATCTCATCAACAATCCATGTGAAAGGATTCATGGTCTCACAGAACCCATGGGCTATCAGTCTTGTCTTTTGATAGAATAAAGAACCAAGGCCACTAGAATAGTTTAGAAAAATTATATATATATATATATATATAATTAAAATGCATATGCTGACATGGTTGTGAACCAAAAACTATAGGGTTTCATAGTCCACCTAAGTGCATTTAATTTTTCTTTCTTTCTTGATAGTTAAAAAGACTAATGGTATGAACAGATTGTGGAATTTGTTCTTAAACAAATGTAATTGAAAACACAAAAATACCTTCTTTAACTCGGGCTTAGGAGGAGGAGGTTCCTGATAGAAGCTTGGCATCGGTGTTGCTTTAAAAGTCAAGCTTTTTCTTAACATTTTAATCTCAGCTTCTTGAGTTTCCTGTTTGAGAATTACAAAACTAGTCATACACAAACTTTAAGCATACTACAATACCCAAAAGCTTTAAAACCATTAGTACATTGTTATCTACCTGGGTTTTGGCTTGCAAGTTACTCTTTTCTACTTCCTTTGCATGAATCTTTTCCTCAAGTTTAGAGTAAAACTGCCAAAATATAAGGAATTGCGTCATGTGACTGATGCAGCTCATGCTCTAGAAAACTGTATTGAAGATCATAAAAATGCAAATAAAAACTAACCTCTCTTCTTTTTTCAGCTCTTTCATCGCACTTAAAATTGATATTGTACGACGGAAGAGTTCCCACTTTACGAGGTTTAGCATCTCCTGTGGTGGGGCTTCTGTCAAGTAGTTAAGGATAAGCAGGTAATAACATGAATGAACTATGTTACTCTTTCAACAGATGGGTGTCCAGGAAACCAGGATTACACCCCTTCTGCACCATGAAGGAAAATGATTACAAAAGACTTAGTAAATAGAGGATACAAAGAAGATTCACTGCTTCCTCCTTCAGCTTTATTTGGCTGGCCTTTTTTCAATGGTTTCAGTTTTTCCTTCTCCCTGTAGTCAGGAAATTACAGTTCACAAACAGCTAGCAAAAGGTTGTCAATAATAGATAAACCTCAAAGAGAACTAGCTAAATGTCAAAATATCAGAGATTTCAACAGAGGTGGTCACTAGACTCTAGAAGCCATCCCACATCCTCTCTCACACAATATTGGAATTGGAGGTAACAGTGTTATACAGATATTGATCTGCATGAGATAAGAAGTGAAGTACTCTAGTTGTAAGTGCAAGCAGAACATACATAAGGCCTTCAGGCTGTGTTTCATTCACAGTGAATGACGCTGCATCAGACTTTCCAGATTGCTGCCAGAAGCAAATTGAGAATTGCAACAATAATTAGTATAGTATGATAATCAAATACCAAAAACAAAATAAATGTGTATATCACACAAATATGCAACAATACTAGCAAAAGGAAGAAAGGGAAAGATGAATGTTTACCTTGGGTATGCGAGCATTGATTAGAGCAGGTCTTGGTTTAGAGTTGCTGTCAATAACCTCTCTATCATTAAATGATCTACCCATTGTTCTAAGAGCAAAAGGTTGTTTTGGGCAAGAATTTGAAGCCAAGGAACCATTTGAATGGGCAGAAGTTGTCTCCATATCTTTTCCGTCTTTGCTCTTTTTCACCCACGTTGCCCCAGCATGTTTGGGGCTGGAAAGCTTTTCAATTTTGGCCTTACCTTGACCCTTTTGTGGTTTAAGACCCTTTGAATGGTCTGTTTCTTTCTCTCCAAGTTCCTAGAAGTAGGATAGAAATATAGGTTAGTTTCAATCAAACCAAAACTGTGTATGTGTGTGTGTGATACACGTGCTACTAACCTAACAACGCAAGAAACAACTCCTACCTTAGAGACCATTAAACCATTACTTTCAGCACGAGCAGTTGGTCTGTCTGGAATTGCTTCAGTATTTGAGTTAGTAGCTCCGTCTTCCAACTTGTCACCAGTTTCAGGATTCCTATTTGGCCTTGCAATTGCTGAACCACTAGCAGGAGCCCCATCCACATTCTCCAAAACAACACCTACTCCAAGGACATGAAGTTGTTCGTAAACTCCATTTCGATGGCTCATGCCATTTTCCGAAACAGGTACATCAATGTCAGCATCCATTGCAAGCTGCAAATCACAATAAATCCAACACATAAGAACTACAAAGTTTTAGGTGTAAGCGAAGTAAAAAACAACTCAACCTAAAGGTTTTAGTTAAGTTAAAATTTGAAACACTAGGCACTTTTTTCTTTGAAACCAAAATTAAAAGAAAATTATTCCGTTTGTGAACCATATTCAAGCAATTATACTGAGAACCAATGATTTTGTATTTAAACACAAGTTCAGATGTGTCAAACCTGAACTATTAAATTTATTACTATATTTAAGTACAAATAAAAATTAAAAACAACTACCATAAAAACAGATTCCAGTAACCAAAAAAAACTAATATTAGCAGAAAATCAGTGGAAAAAAATCAAAAAAGATTAATGGTAATCACAAATTCAAAAAACAAAATTGAGTAAATTATTTATTGAGAAAATTGAGAGAAATACACAAAATTCAAAATTCAGGTGTTTGTTTATCTTTTTTCCCCCTCTTTTTGACTATCAACGAAACTACCTACTCAGCATAGCCTAACAAGATTTTACTTCAGTAAGAAACCTAACAAAAAGAGAGAGAGAGAGAGAGAGAGAGATAGATTTTTCATAACCTAACAAAACCCAAGTACAGTTACAGAAGGAGGGCATCAATCAATCAATCACTTGACCCAAAATATCACAAACCCATCAACAAACACAAATCAATTAAAAACACCCACAAGACAAATCACAAAAATAAATATAGTGGACTAGATCTTCAAACTCGTGAAAAGATTCAACCAAAAACAATGAAGATCTCAGCATTGAAACACAAAATACCCTCTAAAGATTGAACCGATCGCTCCACATTCGAGCACAAACTCAAAATAAACATTGTGAATTCTTCAGCTTACCTCGCAATCGCATAGGACGATCAAAAGAAGACCATTGAAGAAAGCTGTGAAGGATCTGAAAGACGAGAGAGAGAGAGAGAGTGGATGAATCAAAACCCTAGGAGTGTGATCTTGGAATTGGGTGAAAATGAAATCGAGAAACGAAAAGATGGTTTTAATTTGATTTTTGAAATATGGAGGCTCTCAAATCGGATTTCAAATCCATTTTTTTCCAGGTCACTCTCTGTTAAGAGAGAGAGAAATTCAGATACGGTTTTTAGAGAGATAAAATGGAGAGAGAGTGACGTATACGATTTTGAGAGATGAGAGAGATATACGATTGGGTGAATGTTGTTGTGTGCACCCTTGATTTTGACACGTCATCGCGGGTCCCGGATGATGTGGCATAATATTTTGACCTATTTTAATAAGTAGGTTAAGAGTTATTTTTTTAAATATGTAAAAAAAATAGAAAAATGATGTAATCTAAAAAATTCAAAAAACTAAAAAATTAACTTTTAACCGTCAGGGAACTTTTGCAGATTAGAGCATCTCTAATCATTCATTAAGGTCAAGTTTGGCATACTTAAAAAAAGGCAAAAAGTCAAAAAGTCACTATTCTATTTAAGTCACTATTCTATTTAAGTCACATCACATCACCTCTCTAACACATCACTTCAAACCCAACCCAAACCTAACCCATATGTCATAAAAAGTCAAAAAGTGCACTTATTTAGAACATCCCAAACAACCCCTAAATCTTTCATTAAACTTGATGAAAAATTTAGTTTTATATGATGCATTTCAACAGGTTTTATCAATTCAGTCGGCCTGATAAGATTTTCATCTCAATTCATCTCAAACTCGATTGTCCGAGAAGATGTTTAGGCAGACGTCTGACTCAACAGTTACTTGTAAATTTGATGAAAGGATAAAGCGCTCTCTTAATTTGATAAAAAGTAACTCTCCCTTCATATGATATATGTTTGATGCTGTGGTTGGAGCAAAAAAATGAGTATATTTCATCAAATTTAAATTTGTTGAAAAATCTAAATAAGGATTGGAGACGTTCTTAGTCCCAATAACACTTGATTATGTTATTGGTAATTATATTTTATAATTATTTATTATTTAAAAAAAATACACCATGTAAAAATATACTATTATTTTTAGGGTTAGGGTCAGGCTTCTCTCTAATCCAATATTGAATGAAAGCATGCTGTTGGGCCCGTGGAAGCCCACCACAAGTCCTATTTCGATGATCTGATCATTCAATGTGTACAATTCGTCGAGTACTTTATCATTTTAAAAAACCACGTTAAGCGAATATCGATAACTACTTAATCGAAATAGATGTTTGTCAACGGTAAATATAGTTTTCAAAATAAATTATTAACAAAAATCTGATCCAATCAAGTACCTACCGATATGTAATCAATGTAATTTTTTACAAGTATAAATTACTCGACGAACTCTACACATTATAGGGTTTAGATTATTGAAATATGACCCGTGGTGAACCACATGGGCCCAACAAATACCGTTCAATTCATAAAGTGGGCTAGAGACAAGTCTGTTCCTTATTTTTATTGGATCAAGACCATTTTTATAAGGGTAAATTACACTGATACCCTCTGAGATTTGGTCAAATTACATCCTACCCCTGACGTTCTAAAAATTATATTTCCATTCTTATAGTTAATAGTCTCATTTCATAAACTTCCTTCTTATATAAAATGTAACAGCTCTTAATAGAAAAATAAAGAAAATTACATTAAAAAAAAATAAAGCAAAGGAAAGGGAAAAAAATAGAGGAAAAAAACAAAATAAGAAAAGAGAGAGTGTATAAGTTTAATATTTTCATTCCGTCTAAATAATTATAATGACAAGAAGTTAGTGTACTTTTTCAAACATTTAGAAATGATATGTATTAAATCTAAATCTCATAAATATAAGTGTAATTCACCCTTTATATGATGTATTAATAAAAACTCGTTAAGGAATTAACTTTTTAAACGTTTTACAAAAAAAATAAATAGAATGGATTAATAATTTGTAGTGGTTCTTTTTATTTTTTATTTAAAAGCTTTCCAAAGGCACAGGAGCATTATCATTACTAGTTAAAAAGAGTTTTCAACCATGTATTTGTAGTAGAAAAATCTAAAATGACCAAATTAAATTATAAACCCATATATTTATATCTACTTGCACTATTATAAAGTCCAAATCAAGACTTTTGATTTATTAGTATAAAAATTCTTTACCACTTAAGAAATACGTAATATCTGTTTTTGTCATGTTTTATTTATTTATTATTTTTAAACGTTACATATTGTGATATTAATATTTTTTTACCTACTTTTATTATACATGTATCGCGTGTTCTAACTGCTATTTATATATAAAATAAATAGTAAAGTTAGTGTCTAGGTAACACATTTTTATAAAAAATAAAAAAATAAAAAAAAAACTCACAAGAACCCTTTATAACAGTAGCTATGTCCCAAATTTAGTTTTTATTTATTTATTTATTTATTTTTAACTTCGATTTTTTTTATCATATTTATAAAATGTTTCAAATTCTAAATTCAAGTATATATTACAATCTTATTTTGCTAAAAAGAAATGATCATATGCACATGCATTGCTTGTGCTATGAAGAAATGATCATTAATAATACAGTAAGATTATAAATTCAAAATTATTTACCGAGAATTTATTCAAAAATAAAAATTAATGGTTCAAATTCATTTCATCTATGGACCTTATACTTTATCAATTTAATTTTCACCAAACATACCCATTATGGGTAAATTCTGAGACTCTAATTCTGGGATCCTAAACTTCGTTTGGCATTGATTACGGTAGCTAACTTTTTGTGTTTGGACTTTTTTAGCCTCGTTTGGTTTTTATTTTTAGTTTTTTTAACTTTTGTAAGAGAAAAAGTGTAATGAATATGGTTTGGATGTGACATTTTATCTTATTAATTTATATAACATATTTTGCCTTTTTGTACCTTTTTTAACTCCAAAATATTTACCAAACGAGGACCTAGTAAGACTACAAACTCAAAATTATCTATCCAAAAATAAGAATCAATGGTTGAAATTTATTTCACCCATAGACCCCACACTTCATCAATTTAATTTCTACCATACATATCTATTCTGGTAAATTCTGAGATCCTAACTTTTTTTTTTTTTTTTTTGTTAATATATGAATATATGAGATTTACTTCTGAGGAAAAAATAATGATATCTATGACGGAGCTAATAGTATTAATATTATTATTTTCAACGTAAAGTTACTCTTTTGGGTATATTATTTTGTTCTTTTAGATATTCTCAGTCATTTTCTATCCTATCTATATATTTTTATTTTTCTGTTGTGATAGCACCATTTTATCACAAAAGTAGATAAGGATCCTAAAAAACACCAGAAAAAATTGCAACCATTTTATCTAGAGAAAATTGTAAATTAGTAGAATAATAGAGAAATTATTGCACTATAGATGAAATTATTCGTGGTACAATTTTAATACACAGTGAGGACTTGCATAATATATACAATAAAGTTACACCATCATAAAAATATAAATAATTCTCCACTGTCTATTGATTTGATATTTCCCCTTTATCTATTGATTTTCATAGAATGAATTACTATATATATATATATATAAATACGGAGGGATGCAAATAAAATCTGCACCTATACTGCTTTTCACTTACATCCCATTACATTTAGGCCAAGTTTGGGAAGACTAAATAAGTGCACTTTTTGTCTTTTTGGACTAAAAAATTGAGGTTGAAAATATGGATGTTTGGGTTAACTTTTTGACTTTTTATGGATCAAATCACTTTATAAAAAATGTGTATTAAAAAATTGTAAAAATTGGTTTGTAGGGGAAAATTAGGATTGGGAGTTGTGCAGCCGTAATTGTTGACTTTTGGTGAATAGTGTTAACTTTTTAACTTTTTGAGTAACTTTTTGACTTTTTGGCTTTTTTGGAACATCCCAAACTTGGCCTTAATCACTTATACCACATATTTGTAAACTTTTTTTTTTCTACCTCACTGTTAACTAATTCTCTCATTTTCATATCAAAAATTTTTGAGATCCCAAAAGTTTTACCAAACATGGAACTCACATTGTGTGGATCCCACACTAATATGAGACATTTGATAAAAATTTTGATAAAATTTTTAGAGTCTCTAGCATAAAAATTCTTTACCACTTAAGAAATACGTAATATCTGTTTTTGTCATGTTTTATTTATTTATTATTTTTAAACGTTACATATTGTGATATTAATATTTTTTTACCTACTTTTATTATACATGTATCGCGTGTTCTAACTGCTATTTATATATAAAATAAATAGTAAAGTTAGTGTCTAGGTAACACATTTTTATAAAAAATAAAATAAAAAAAAACTCACAAGAACCCTTTATAACAGTAGCTATGTCCCAAATTTAGTTTTTATTTATTTATTTATTTATTTTTAACTTCGATTTTTTTTATCATATTTATAAAATGTTTCAAATTCTAAATTCAAGTATATATTACAATCTTATTTTGCTAAAAAGAAATGATCATATGCACATGCATTGCTTGTGCTATAAAGAAATGATCATTAATAATACAGTAAGATTATAAATTCAAAATTATTTACCGAGAATTTATTCAAAAATAAAAATTAATGGTTCAAATTCATTTAATCTATGGATCTTATACTTTATCAATTTAATTTCCACAAAACATACCCATTATGGGTAAATTCTGAGACTCTAATTCTGGGATCCTAAGCTTCGTTTGGCATTAACTACGGTAGCTAACTTTTTGTGTTTGGATTTTTTTAGCCTCGTTTGGTTTTTATTTTTGGTTTTTTTAACTTTTGTATGAGAAAAAGTGTAATGATTATGGTTTGAATGTGACATTTTGTCTTATTAACTTATATAACATATTTTGCCTTTTTGTACTTTTTTAACTCCAAAATATTTACCAAAGGAGGACCTAGTAAGACTACAAACTCAAAATTATCTATCCAGAAATAAGAATCAATGGTTGAAATTTTTACCCATAGACCCCACAATTCATCAATTTAATTTCTACCATACATATCTATTCTGGTAAATTCTGAGATCCTAACTTTTTCTTTTTCTTTTTTGTTAATATATGAATATATGAGATTTACTTCTGAGGAAAAAATAATGATATCTATGACGGAGCTAATAGTATTAATATTATTATTTTCAACGTAAAGTTACTCTTTTGGGTATATTATTTTGTTCTTTTAGATATTCTC